TGATGATGGGATTAAAGGTTACATGTAGGATTATTCTACTTTTGGTAAAATAAGGAACAGCAAGTTCCAGAGGTTGGCTTCAGCAAGAAATTTTTTTAACTGCCTCAGGATTAAATATTTGCATTTGGAAGCGCTCAAGATGTGTTAGTAGGACTGATAAGCTTCACTTTGTTTTTCAGTGAGTAAATGAGCTTGCATGATATTGACGAGGTAAAACTTTTTCTGTTAATAAGGAGTTAGTTTTGCTAATTATACCGCTATCATTTCAAGACTAGGTACGGGTGGCCATGTCGTCTGTGGTTATGCGTGGATTGAATCCACGTAACGGCTTCACAGCCAGTACAATGCGTTTCGCACCTACATTTCGTGTTCTCCATATTAGCTGGACTCATAATGCTCTTATGAGTGAAGGAGTTCAAAAGTTCGTTGAGAAATACTTACCCACCATAAGGTCAGTGCTTTAAAAAGTAATAATAGAAAGTCTTCTCCTTCTGTAAATTGTTCAAAAATTTTTACTTTTCTTTAGTTTTCTTGGGAGGCCAGTAAGACATGTTGTAAGCGGTCAGGCGTGAAAGGAAAATAAATAAATGAGCCATACAAATCCGTGTCAATATTATTTCCATAAAAAAGTTTTTTTCAGGGCGAATAATCCAAATATCGAATATCGTCTGTACCGAACGCATATCATATGTGACCCATTCGTAGTAGGCGAGTAAGTCTTACTTTTACAGAAAACAACCAGAAATGTTCAGCGTAGATTTTTTAATAAAGTAAAAAAAAGATTAATATCGAAAAACGAATACCGGAAAAACGAACCCGAATGCAATTGTTTTAAAGAAGCATCTACCAAAGGATCGTTTTTGAATTGTTGTAACCTGAAGGATTTAGTGGTTAGATTTAAAGTGGATTTCCGATTTTTTACTTTCTGATACAAGACGCTCCTGTTTTTTAACGAACCTCTGTAGATATGTAATGACAGGATCTTTATAATACTTACGATAATCTTTTCTTACTACACTTTGTTTTTAATAACTTTTTTTTTACCTTTCAGACAGTAAAAAGTTACAGTTAAAGAAAAAAATTACAACATTTTTATTTTGGCTGCAGGAAAACTAGAATTTGTTGCAGTTAACCTTTTCATCTTTATAAGTTACTGGAACTTTTAAGTACATTTACTCAAGGGAATTTTCCCAATGATCAGTCTCAATTACTTTAGCTTCTATTATCAAATTTTCTATGCTACAGTAATTGAAGGACCAAATGATATCCTGATTTGCTTCATACTTAGGACAAATGAAAGCTCGTGGCTTCATCTGTATTCAATTTAATTTCTGTAGAAAGCGTATTTTTTTAAATTTTTATTTGGCCTCTGATCGTCTCTCTAATCCGTACTTATTGTGGTGAGCCAGTGACGGGCTTAATTTAAAAAGTAGTAAAAGTGTGATTGATGTAAAGAAGAAATCATTATCTTTTACGAAAACGATGATTTTGGACATGTATAGTGGAGTCAGTGAAGAACAAGTCAGAAATTTGAGACATTAAGAAACAACAAGTGTTTTTATTTCTTTCAAATATTCCAACTGTTTTTGTCAGGGAATGTTCGTAGATGTGGCATCACTTCTCGCATATTTACTCATTTGAATAATTTGAGTAAGAACAACCTTTCCTTCTTCGACCGTAATTTAGATACGTATTTAATCGGACTAGAAAAAGAAGATGTTCATGGTTGACTTCAAACCAGGTGCTGGCTATGGTAGAGGAAATGTCTGTTGGCGGTAACTTCTACCCAGGTTATAAGGCATTAATTGCTCTTCGCTTCATTTCTTCTCTTATTGTCCCAAAAGGCCATTGAAACATTTTTTTGGGATTCATTAGTTTTGCGTCCTTTGCAATTCTACAGAAAAACTGTTTAAACGTTTTTTAGTTCATTTTCCATTATCTAAGATAATTGTTTCCCTCTTTTGTAGAGAATGGGTCTTGAGCAAAGATTGCTGGTTTTTATGTGTTCACACCATAAATAAAATCAACTTTTTCAGCTAAAAAGCTTCAAGTCAATGCCCGACTACCTCGCGGAATTGAGATTTGGAATTCTGAAACAATAGGTCACGATGTTTTCAAAGTTTACAGTAAATGGAAAGGAGATCCTCCAGATCCTGATGAAATTCAAGTCCACGAGCACCCAAATTACGTCTATAAGCAAGGACCGAGGAAAAAAATGTGATTATATGATTACACCATTTTGTTGTAACAGACATCGAAGTGCTAATGGTGAAGTACTTTGACGTAGGAAGTCAAATTTAGTTTGTTATTTCTTTTAAGCAGAAATCCAGCAAAATTTGCAATTTCTACCTTATGAAAAATTCAAATTTATCTGGTGTAAGTGTTAGAGCAGTTGACGTACGAAAGGTTGAAAGTTGTATAATTTTTTGTTTAGAATTCATTTGAATGTTAATCTAATAATAGTTTTAAAGAAAATACGCAAACGGACTGTAAATTAAATTTTTTAACTAACCGTAAGCAGATCTCAGCACATAAATTTAAAGAGAAATATAATGCTGACATATTTTTGGGAGAATAAAGTTAATTTTTTCGTCGCTTAAACCTTTTGCAGAGCTGCTAATGAACACCGTTGCAAAAGTTCTCTTTGTAATTTTACCAGTGAACAGTGAATGAAGGGTGTCAGCTTCTTGCTTATTTTCACAACTGAATTAGTTGTAATGGTGGAATTCCGCAACTAATCGTTGGCTAGGACTAAAGTTTGACAGAAAAGCATACTTCAATGGCTACCTAAAAAAACTAAGTTGTAGACAAAAAGTTCTAAATTTCATTTTTTCTAATGATGCTCAAGAACTCGGAAGTTACGATTAACGTGTTTAGAAAGCATTTCTTGCGCAATCCAGTTCCTTCATCCGAGAGAATTTTTTCGTTTTTAAAATTAAAATTGCCACTTAATAGAATTATGCCGAAAAAAAAGGGAGACATATTTGAACTTGCGTAGATGACTAAAAAGTTGAGCTATTTGATATCTTACTCCAACCCCGCATTACCTTCAGAATTGCGGCAAGCTACCTGTCTCAGCAATAAAGATCTTCCATTTTCTTCTGGAATGGAGGTTGCTTGTCATAAACAATTCAACATACAACACTGAGGCCTACTAACCTTGCTTTGAAAGTATTTCGGCTAAAGCTTCCCACTTAAGCTGATCTTCAACCCTTCTTTAAACCAACTGCTTTTTTCAAAAAGAAAAGTTTATTCATCGCTCCCCTACTTAATCGCCTACCAACCGTTCTGGAACTCGACACTATTCTCTACCTGAAGGCCACCGTTCAAGAGGTCCCTCTGTAACTCATTCAGCTCTAATTTTTCGAAAACACTTCGTGCCTTCATTATAAGGGATTGAAATTATACAAATTGGCTGGAAATTACAAGAATTACTTCACTTTTCACCACTAAACAACCAAACGGACACCACTGAACTAGACAGCGATCATGTGAATTTGGCCAAAATTTCCAAGGCAGTTCGACTCATTTAGCTATAACTCGGCCCAGGTTTCAAGTCCCTTCAAAATTTCATATTACAGCAACTACTGTTTTAAAAAGTCAATACAAAAAGCAGTTCTCCTACAGATATCAAGAACCGCAGCCTACCTAAGGGCCATCGTTCAAGAGGGCCCTCTGTAAAAGTTTTGAAGCGGACTCGCAAAACGGCCACCTGATAATTTTTAAGATCTTCAATTTTGCCCTGACGTTAAAAACTCTATCTGGCCGTCGGTTCGCAACCGACCAACAGACAAGAAAGGATTTTGAAAAACTGCCAGGAAAAGTGAGCTACTTTGGGTCGGCGGCAATGTCCAGCATACCACAGAATTTAGAACTGAACTCCATTAAAGATGAATTTGTAGGGACATGTTTTAATCTTTATTCCGGGATTGCGCTCTACCAGATTTGGGGCTACTTTTTGACTATGAAATAAATATTTTATTTATTTATCTTTTTTTTTTTACAGTTATCCAACTTTTTTTCTTTATTTTTGCACGGTTTATGCACTTGAGTAAAGCCAGTGTCCAGTGAATGACAACAAGCATATACCGGTGTTAAGCTACTTACACTTTTTGAAGTATTCATCATGTAGACCGGTTGTCAACGATGTACAGTGAAGATATTGCTCCGACAGAACCGGAGTCGGCGGACCGTGGCCAGCTTTCTTCAGATTCGCGTGTCAGTCCAAAACTGGTAGCTTGCTTTTCGTTGTATAAGTGACTAGCATAAGGTGTGAAATAATTGTTTGTTAACGAAATGTCAACTCAGTTTTTCTTTCTTCTTTTTTGAAAGCTCTTGGCGACGTTGACGAAAAGACAATCCGAGAAAGACTGGAAGAGGAGGAAACTATAGCAACAGAAAAGGTTTTAAATGCACTGTTGTCGTACCGCCGTTTCGGTCGATCTTGCATCAGAAGAAGATGGAATGTTTTCCAGTAAGTTTCGCTCATATATACATATTTCCATGTACCTTTACACATGAAAGGTTTTCTTTTGATGTTCTGAGCATGCAGGAAAAATCAAAAGTAAAATTTATTGACTTTTTTGGAAAACTATTGTACTGTTTTCTGTTTTAAAGATTAACCGTTCTAGGAAGCTTCCAGAAGCTCAGCAGTTGTTGTTGTCTCCGTCTTTTCCAGAACATATCAAGAAAATGAGACACTGCGTAGAAGAGAACTACAGGTTTCAATTGAAAGCGCAGCTTTCAATTTTGTTTTTCAGTTACATATTGAGTTACCTTCTCCTGTTCAGGGGTTCTAAGTACATTAATTTAGAAAAAAGGCTAGTAGGACGCATTGAAGAAGCTAAATTTTAGGGTAATTCAGCTGATTATTTCTCATGGGTCAGCAATGTTTGGTGACACATGTCGTATGAGAGAAGCTATGAAACGAGCTCAGACAACTTGGTGCGTATCTGAGCACTACATGTCAAAGGTCCGAAGTACTTTAAAGCAGTTTGTTCGTGACTGGAGTAATGAAGGTTATTTTTTTTT